AGCGAGGGAGGCGTCAGGTGGCCATAGCGTGACATTGTTTACAAGCGTCTACCCATAAGTCTTTGCATTCTTAGCGTGTGTTGTTATCATGGCTTGGGACTCAATTCTCGCGCGTCTGTAGGTGACGACCTTCTCGCTTTAACCCTTTGAGCAGAACCCCCAAGTCAACTTTCATAACAATTCACAAAATAAAATGTTATATTTTTCCCCAGATAAATTTTTTCCAAAATTTCGATCAAGACCTATAGATAATAGAAAATGATTTCCCTTAGGTCAAAATTATTTTCCATTCTAAAGAACTACATAATAGTATGGGGCAATACGAATTTATGTTTTTTTTAAGATTTCAATTCCGAACTGGTTGTCTCTGGATGTGCAGTTTGCTGATTTTGAGTGTCTGCAAAAACCTTGGGAATTTTGCAGTCGTGAGTCATTTGTTTGTCATTTGTCAATTTGTTGGCAATACAGGCTGGCACACTGTGACATTGTTTGTTGATATATTCATTAGTTTTCAACTTGCCACAAATGACATGCACAGAATAATCCTTGACTGCAATCCACCGTCACAATGTGTTATTTTGATATACAACATACATGTATACTGTAAAATGACTAGTTTTCACTGGGTTTATTATTTAGAAAATTTGTTCTATGCTAAATTTTAAATATTCACTGGGTTTTAATTTGACTCATTTTCCAGTCAGCAAAATAAGCAAAATTAAAACCCAGTGAATAATGAACCCTTTTACAGCCACAAACGTTATTCTTGTACTTTCTGTACTAACTGCCGGTTCTCGCCAACTAGTCACTGTGCATAAGTGCATAGTGTTAACAAGTGTGGATTTCTGTATGTCAGTGATATTTGGAGTCATGAGTGTTTATTCATGTCCAAAGATGTTCATATTCAGTATAAAACTGAAGTTGGTAACGACTTGCTACTATTTACAGGATTGACACTATGTCGCAACTATATTAGATGTTAAACATGTTCTAGAAAAGTATTTTCAGGCTTATGAGTTTGCAAATTTTATTATAATCGAAGTTTTGTCATGAACCTTTTTTTTTTTTAGTACCTGTACTGATGGCATATGGAAATGTTCACAGCATTGTGGTAAGCTTTCTTTTTTCATTGGATGAGCATTGTATATTTCTATGATTAGTGTTGATGTAGGAGATACAACGTGCGACTGAAACCTCAGTTTATGAATATTTGTACATACCGGACAACAGCTTTCAGTCAAATTCAAATATAATATGAAAATAGGATAGTGATTGGCTCTAGAGCAAAGAACTGTCTAAAGCCCATACTGCCTTCAATCATATCTCAATGTTAGTGTCTGCGACTACCTGCTCATTCATTAATTAAAACATTTTCTAATTGGATGACATCAAACTAATGTTTATCTATGATGTCAAAACACCATTGTGGGGATTGGTCAATTTGAATTCATGAAGTTTTATATTTATAAAACGTTTATAACATGACTTAGTTGCACACTATAGTGACACAGATTTATAAGATAAGAGTGTGCAACTTTAATATTCACACATGGTGACATGCAACACAGATCTCATTGTGTGCAAGTTCCATCTGTGCATCAAGCAAAGTTTCTAACCAATGTCATCAAACATTGGACATCTGGAAAGGTTTGATTGTGGAACCAGAAATGAACGTCAAACACAAGTACTGCATACTCATGTGCACATGTGCAAGGACACAGATTAACTGTTATTGTAGCATGTTTAAAAGTGAAAGTATTTTGACTTATGAAATTAAGTTAGGTAGCGCCCTCTATGGGTATTTCAGGTATAAACAAGAATACATGTTTTTTTTATACACCATAAATTTAGCTTACTCTAAAGATTTGACCACTCATTTATTTTGCTGATTTTCATTCATTGGCTTCTTAAACTTATCACAGAATTGTGTTGTTTTCGTTCACCTCAGATTTTTTTTTGTTAATGAAAAAAAAACATTACTGTAGACATACACACAAAAGTAACCTACTTTCCCCCCCCCCCCTACTTCTAGCAGTATTGCTTATTATTCAGTCATTATTATTGCTTTGGATTGCTATGAAAAATATGTAAATGTCAAGTACATTTTTCTAGATCACAAATTGACCTAGTATGTCATCTTCAAAGCATTGAAGAATTTTCATTATTTTAGTTGAAGTACGATCCGTTGAGGCGATTAGCATTTATAAAAGACAAAACCAGTACAGAGAGTACAGCTTTCAAAATGTATTTTACCTATTCGCACAATAAATCTGCAAGCACACAATGGGAGTCTTTGCAGTTAGTGTGTTCGTCTGTTCCACTGCTATCTCAAAGAACCATACATCTGTTTTTGAGGAAACTTGGTGCATAGATGCTCTGGACCAAGGTAAAAATCCGTGCATATTAATTACCTAATTTGCATGATAATTAGCTAATTTTTAGCTGTTCAATGACTTTTCCACTGATATCTAAACAACCAATCATTGGATTTTGATGAAACTTGGTACATAGATGCTCTGAACTAATGTGCAGATGTGATAAGTTTTTGATAAAAATCTGTGCAAATTAATTACCTAATTTGCATATTTAGTCATTTTTTTTTTTTCACTGATATCTCAAGTACTAAGCATCACATTTCAATGAAACTTGGTACATAGATGTCATAGGACACTGCATGGACCTTATAGTTTTTAGGGTAATATCTGTACATATTAATTACCTAATTTGCATAATTAATTTTCAGCTTGTGATATTTTAAGTAGTAAGCATTAGATTTCAATGAAACTTGGTACATAGATACTCAAAGACTATGCAGAGATTGATTGTTTTGGGATAAATATTTGTGCATATTAATCACCTAATTTGCGTCTTTTCCACGGATACCTCAAATACTAATCATCACATTTCAATGAAACTTGGTACATAGATCTTCTAGGACTATGCAGAGACCTGATTAGTTTTAGGGTAAATAATTGTGCATATTAATTACCTAATCTGCATAATTAATTTTCAGCTTTTCCACTGATATCTTGAGTACTAATCATCACATTTCAATGAATCTAGAACTATGCAGAGACCCAATTAGTTTTCGGTAAATATTTATGCATATTAATCACCTAATTTGCATAATTTACATAAATTTTCAACTTTCACTCTGATATCTCAAGTACTAATCATCACATTCAAATGAAACGTTGTACATGGATGCTGTAGGACAATAGACAGACCTAATTAATTGTGGGGTAAAATCGGTATATATTAATTACCTAACCAATTTTAGGCTATCACACTGATATCTAAAGTACAACTTATTCCATTTCAATGAAACTTAGTACAAAGATGCTCCAGGACAATGTACAAACCTGATTAGTTTGGGTTAAAATCTGTCGATACTAATTCCCTAATTAGCATTGTGGTTCTAATCACATTTCAATAAAACTTGGTGCATAGATGATTTGTTACATTGCGCAGAACTCATTAGTTTTACACTCAAATCTGTTAATTTTCTGATTTGCATAATTAGTTTTCAGCTTTTCCATCAATATCTCAAGTACAAGTAATTTCAAATTATTTTTAATGTGTCTCTAATACTCTCAGCACATGGGAGTTCTTTCTAAGTATTCTTTGATTTTCATGGCGCTAACTCAGTGGTATTAATAATCTCTTGGTTTTTTTCATTTTTGTAATCAATGATTATTGCTCAAAATAATATTTTATTTTCGAAATTTCACAGTATTTCTGCACATTACCCAGCTAAAAATGTTATTTAAAATACCATTAAGTGCGTTAGATGTACTTTTCAGGAGACATGTCATCTAGAAACAGGCTTCATGATCTACCTTGCATACATGTATGTAATGTAAAACTGATGAAGTGGGATTTATAAAAGGACAAAGCATAAATGGTTTAACTATGTTTTATCTTTCAGTATCAGCTGGTTCTAATCCTACAAACGAGATAAAACAAGATTCTATTATAGTGGTTGTCATGTTACTGGCTGTATGTTTGTTTGAACTGACAAGGAATCACAAGGATGGCATCTAACTGCTTCATTAGTGGAAATTGTTCAATGGTGCTCACAGAACTCATCGTTGTCCCAGTGGATTGTTACAGAGCACCCTCTGGTTGCAATATATAAACATTTATGCTTATGAAAACCTCATTTTAAAGTATCAATTACATCTTACAAAAAATCAAAATTTATCAAATACCATGAAGATGAAGACCCAAACTAAATGTGATCCACACGGGGAAGTTATGCTTATATCCCAGAGATTTCACTATTGTGAACCACTGCTTCTCTAAGATATGCCTCTCAGTGGGCGAAACTGGAACACTAATTATTACAATAATTCTGGGGGTGGGGGTGGACATTTTCACTACCTGGTAACCATCACAGAAAAAACAAAGGTCAAAAACTGTCCGAAAACGGTACTTTGAGATGGTTGTTGAGACTCCCTTGAACAGTGTAACAAGATCACCCCTGCATGTCCAACATATATAAATTTGGTTGTCCAGGATTACTTCAAAGTTGATTTTGTGCTGTTTTCTCAAATTTAGCTATTTTCACAGGCTCTTTGACCGGCGTTCCACAGCAGCCCACGTAGAGCCCATAGAAATACATGATACAGCGGTACACATCTTCGAGGTATCCGGAAAAAACAACTAATTTATGTCTACCATATTTCAGGTATCAGTACACACATTTATAGAGTTTTTTTTCGTTTTTATATATATATTTTCAATGTTTTCACTTTTATATGTATAGTTCATAGCATAATTTTATGAATAAAATCCATTACAAAAGATCTAACTTTAAGATTTTCTCTTCATATATCATAATATGAAATCAAATTTTTTTAATTGTCAAAGTCTTAAAGGGTGTGATGATTAATTTCTATTGTCCTAATTGCTTAGTAATAGATGGGGATGAACTTGAAAGTAATCAAAACAATTATAATATACAGCTCAACGTTGGTAGTTTCCTAGCAACTGCAATGTTATGAGTCATGGAGATCTTGTTCATCATTTTTCCATATGGTTTCATTAAAATCGAAATACTGCTTGAACTGCCAGCCTCTATACTCTTCTGTTTTGATAAACTTCTTTTTGACGTTGTCGACGCTCTCACGGTGAAACCCTTAAATAAGAACTGTGGTTTTTGTACTCTCATTGAACGGAAGTTCTTCGGTAGAGTGAACGCATCCTTGACTGCAATGGACGTACCCCTGGTGCTGCGACTTCGATGTCGCAGTGA